ATGAAAAAATATTGACAGTTAATATAATGATATTCATGCTACTAGTCATGGATATATTTCTACCTTGAGAACACTTTTGAAAGTTAAAATTATCATTCATGACTTTTCCCACAGGCAGCTAAGACTCACTAAAGAGTTGAGCTTGCCAAATATCAAGTTAAACCAATTTTCATTCCATTTTACCATGGACATACTGAAAACAACTAGGTTTCTCTTTAACAGTACAATAAAGCTTCTAGTTTTTAGACAAACAATAGGAAAATTGAAATGAGTTTACACTCCACATTTTTGGCCTTAAGTATTAGAAGCATAACACCTACCAATAGATTCCTCCAAAAGAGTAATAAGGAGTACTCTTCAATATTGCAAGAACATTCCCTATGTTGTGCTGCACTAAGGAAGTAATTCCAAAGTTTACTGTAACATTAAACAGGCTCTGGCACTTAAAACCACAACTACTCATTAACACAATCTCCTCCAACGTTGCAGTTGCTATGAAATACCATTAAATGACTTACTATGCAAAGATGGTTCCATTGTAGCCATTCATACAAGATTCAACAATATTTTTGGCCACACTTGAGAACACCGACTCCTAGGGACAAGGGAAAGAGAAGACACTTGGCACCACTCATTTAAGTATCTCTTCCATCAGTGTTTTCTATGCCATAACTTTATAATGTTTAAAATAGACACAGTCCTTAAAGTTAGACATGTATCATGACCCCTGGAGTTCTCACAGCAAAACAATACGTCCCAAGTCTTTGTGACATAAATCACTCCTTCTGAAAAGATTTTATTCCTTGATAAACTGAAAGAAAAATAATAAAACTCAGCATCATAGTAACAGCTTTCAAATATGCATTATATTACATTTGGTCCAGTGTTTTTGCTTATGTTATTACAGTTTATACCATCAGTAGGTCAAAATTGAGCCTATGACACTTATCGAATCTAGTTAACTTTGAACATTTGCCACTTCACAATGGCATATTCAACAAATATGCACAACTCTTAGCCTCATCTATTTTCACGTATTTCTCTTAGACCTGCAACAAGAGCCTAGCTACAAATAACAGCCTACAGTGGGTGGGGGTTTTGGTTTTTTAAACAGGAGTTAAATGGAATTGAAGTCTTAAGAGGAATTGAAGTTAAGTTCAGAATTTCAAGCACAATATTATAAAAATTAAATTGAAGAATTTTCCTTCCAGTATTACCTGTCCCAGATGAACAATGCACCTGTTTAAAAGGCAAATGTATAAGAAGGAAATATAACAAATAGAACATAAACTCATAAGTTCCTCATATACAAATCACATCTTTACTACCAGCTACTGGCTGCCAGTTATTTTTATGTTTGTCTCAACAGGCGGGTTTATTTTCTGTCTGTGGTGTTACCGTAAAATTTACAAATAGAAGCCTCAATTTTAATGCAAACTTTTTAATTAAAGAAATTAATAGTTAAAAAAATACATTAAAACTATCAGAGACCAGAATTTAGGGCAACATTTCTGTACTATAACTACATATTACCAGTCTGACCACTGCAAAAAATAAGACCTAAGAAATAAGACCTAAGAATCTTTAGAAAGGTTTAGTATAGCAGTTGCCAAAATTTGAGGAAAAACTGCAATACCATTACAAGATTTTGGAAGTTATTACCTGTGTTGTTTCCATATTTGCAACATAATCAAAAGTGAAGATCTTTGGCTCAGGCTTCGAATGCAGACGGATGGTATTTGATGAAAGAACAGATAAACACAAGCCTTGATCTCCATCCGTTAACACAGTTCCCTCTGAAGGGGGACGTACTCTTACATAAACTTTGATAGCATCACCTTCAATACTAAATGAATATTTATGCATTAGATTACTCCAAAATAGATCTATCAGCTGTTTGATAAAATTAAATCACAAATATCAGATTAAGTAAGTGAAGTCATTCAAAGGTCTTCCCTGCAAATATGCTACTTGTAGCTGTACACATCAATTCACTACTAGCCACAGATTTATTAGAGGTAACAATGTGGCAGATTTAAAAACAAAGAACATGAAGTTACTGGAATTTATTGCTGTTGCATGCAACTTCAGCTCTAAAACAACACATTTCACAGTGAACTTGAGATATATAAAACCAGTGTTATAATAAAGGTTTCAGTAGTTTCTAAGACTACAAGGCTTCAAGCACCCTTCTTACTACTGAAGTTATAAAGTTATAAAAGACTTTAAAAATGGAGCAGATAATGCTACATTCCAGCAACCAATTCTTGATCCATGAGTCCAGTGAAATATAGCAGCACCTACATCTAAAAGCTCCCTAACCTATTTCATCACATTTATCAGTGGATGCACCAGTAAATTTAGGTTGAATAAGTAACTGTGCATGACTATTATATTAAAGCTTTGAGGAGTTCTGGTATATATACCAATATACTGATATAATATTAAAGAATTAAGTTCTTGCATGAAGTGGTAGCAAACTTGGATTTACTTTACTTCATTCTTTCCCAAAAGGCAGCTATAGCACGAGGGTGTTATAACTGTTACAGAATAGTTTTAAAAATGGGGGAAGGACTTCATGACTGAAATGTGGGGTTGGGGAGTGGCAAAGAAAAGGGCTAAAAAAGAACAGGAAGTGGCTGAGAAAGGGAAGATGTTATACTGGATTTAAGACACACCACACTAACTTGCCGAATATGTTTTCATTAGGTAATATTATTCTGATTTGTGGCAGAAACTGTTTATATTTGGAGGACGGCTTTTTGGTTTTTGTTTTTGCTTAGGACTTCCTCACAGAATTTAAGATTGTCATGGAATATCTCTTCAAGAAATTCTAGACTCTAGCTGCAGAGATAGTGGACAAATGACAATTTACCGCATGGTAGCATTCCAAGAGGAATCTGACACCTCAGGACAACACTTTTATTTAGAGAACTTTTTTTTTTTTTTTAAATCTATAAGGAAGTTAAGAGAGAAAGGCAACAATCTTGTGCAGGAAAACATTGAAAGAAAAAACTTTAAATTATTTCACAAAGTTACACTAGGTTTTGTTTGCACTTCTTGTGCAATGTGATTATTCATATATGGGAACTGGCCAATACTACTTTACCTAGGTGAGTTCAACAAAGGTAATGCAGAGTCACGCAAATCTCCTACAAAATAAAAGTGAAACAGACACACAAAAATTAAACAAGATAAAATTACTGCTCAAAAACCCCTGTTTAAATAGAAAATACTGTAAGCAGTACTGAGGGAGCTAAATGGAGAGCCTTATAAATATCCATTTCATGCATAAATCAGAACTGCACAAAAATATTTATTAACTATCTTCCTTTGGCAGAAAGTTTGCTGTTTCTTGCAAAGGTAGAGGAAGCTCCTGTCCTGCAATGTGACTAGTCTCTTAAATTAATATATATGAGGTTTTGCAAGTGCTTTAGAGCATTAGGAACATAAATGTTATTACATATTCCCATTATATTTATATAACAATACAGCATGAATTTATATAACAATACAGCATGAATTTATATAACAATACAGCATGAAATAGTTTTACTAATGACCGAAAAAAATCAATTTTCTAAACATGCACAACTCAGTAGCTATATTACTTTCACTTTTATGAAGTAATACTGAGCACTCTGTAACGCATAAAACTCTCCTGTATGTATAAGCATCATTTTGCACAGCTACATATTTCAAGGAGATGGCACATATCACCCCATAGGTAGATATGGTGACTTATTTTTTAGTTAAGGGTGAATCTGGCACGAAATTATTTCACATAGGTTAGTCAAAATACTAACATAATCAAATTTAAAAAATAAGTAAAACAACAATGAAAGGTGATTTACCAAAATATTCCAATAATAAAGACCTTAGAAAGTCTCTAAAAGTGCACAGGTTTTAGTGTAGGAGGATCCCTTCCAAAGTAGAATTAATAAAGGTGTGCAACGGTACTAACCTTCTCATTAACATGCATACTACACTAATATCCTGCTGCTGCTAGGCAAGCCTACCTGCTTTGATTCACACAATAACATCTGAGAAATGTTCTAGCTTCTAATTCGGTTGTTTATTCTTCAAATGCACAAGGTATCAAAACCAGCTGGGACAAGAGAAGCAGCGCATTTTGGAACGGCAGTCAGACTGATAGATACCTGCACAACCTGTACCTTGGGAAATGACCGACTCTCAGCTAACCCTTCTTAGCTCCCATTTTAAAGAGCTGCTTTCACTTGAACGCTTGGAAGAGACTATAGTTACAAACATCACAGCTAATTAAAACTCGATAAAATTACAGAAGACGAACTGATAAACGCGGGACGACTGACAGTAACAAGGTTTGTAAAGCCTTCCGGGTCGGGAGGGCTGCTTATACGAACCGACCACGAGAATCCTTTGGGGATATCAGTGCCAGAAGGCGATTCTGGAGGCAGGGGGTGGGGGCTGACCCCTCTCCCTGCCCCTGCTCCCACCCCGCCGCCCTTCCCCGACACCACCGGGGGCAGCGCGGCTGCCCTGCGGGCACTCCCGGATGGCACCGGCCCCTCCGTGGGGGCACCGAGCCCAGCCTACACGGCCATAGCTCTCCCTGACCCTGTCAGTTCTTACGCCTGGGTGATACCCCACAGGAGGCGACCAGCCCCAGAGGGCAGAGCCGTCCCTCACCCGGCCAGCGGCACTGACTGCAGCGCGGCCTCCCTCACCGAGCCGCCCCGGTCCCCTCCTGCTCCCCGCACGGGGGGGAGGGAGAACATCCCTCAATCCCTCAGCCCCTTCACGGCCGCGCAGCCCCACAGCCACCCCGTCCCTCCTCACCTCTCGTGCCGGGAGCCATGATCCTCGCCAGCCCTGCCGACCCCCGCACCTCCCCGCCCACCGACGGCCTCTCCAAAATGGCGGAACGTTTGAATTTGGCGCTAAGGACCGCGACGTGGCCCCGCCCCCTCCTCGAAGCCACCATGGGCGCGGCCATTTCGCTCTACATCCTACCCCGCTCCGGCTTCTCTCTCGCCATTGGCTGGAAGCACCTTCGCTCCTTTCACGTGACGGAGAGAGTTACGGAAGGGAGGCGGTGTGTTAGTTCTGTCCCACTAGGGCCACCGTCCGCTCGCGCCCGCTCGGCCCAGAAGTGTCTGTGTGTGGGGAGGCGGTGGCGCGGCTTGGTCGCGGGCAGCGGCCATGAGCAAAAGGAACCAGGTCTCCTACGTGCGGCCGGCCGAGCCCGCCTTTCTTAGCCGCTTCAAGCGGCAGGTCGGGTATCGGGAGGGGCCCACGGTGGAAACCAAGGTAACGGCCTGGCCCCGCGCTCGGGCGGCACGACCCTCCCCGCCCGTGGGCTTGTGTCGGGGCCCTGCTTCCTTGCCCACCGCCGCGGCCGGCCCCTCCCCGGGGGTGGGAAGGGGCAGCGCCCGCTTCTTCGGGCCTCCCGCGCCGCGGTGCCCCCTCGCCCCTCGGGCTTGAAACGAAGGCGGTGGGGAAGCGGCACTTGAAGGCTTTGTCCCTGTAGGGCGAGGGGGAACAGTAGTTACCCGCTTAAAATGAGCTGAAACTGTCTTCGTAGCTTGTTTTTGCTTCTGTGTTAGAGATTCAAAACAACAACAGATTGTAGTGCCCCTCCCCATCGCTGTTTTTAATAACTGCAGCCGTGGTGATCATGGTGCCCTGTGCAGAGCAGCCAGTGCCGACCTGTCAGCGCCCAAGTGGTCTGTGGGGGCAACGGGGGAGACGGCAACGATGTCCCAAATTTTAAATGCCCTTAAAAAACCCAGGGGGGGGGGGGGGGGAAGTGTGTTTTAAGGCTATAGTAAAAAAAAAAATCTTAGAAAGGAGTTAACGTCATCTTAACATAGGTCAGCAGACACAGACTCCGGTGTGACAGCAGGGCAGGGGCAGCAGGGTTTGAGTGAGCTTGTTAAAAGGCAGCCTTTTCTGAGGGGACTGGTTTTTTCTGTTTCCAGCGTGCTTTTGCCTGTGTTTCCTGCTAACTAAGGTTTTATAGGGTGCTTTAAGAAAGAGGCCTGTCATTATCGTAATATAGCAGATGCAAAGTTGTTCTTTTTGATGACTAAGGAGATGTAAATTTAAGCTATGGTTTAACATTAGCTGGTAGTGCTGCTTGTGCAGTTATGTTGTTACCTGGTTGTACTTGCATGAATCTTTGGATGATTCCACCTGACCTGTATGCAGCTGAAAACTAACCTAGCAAAAAAAAAAAAAAAAACAACCCTCTCCCCCTCCCAGTGGGTCATTGTTACGGCCTTGATTTGAATCATACTTGTGCCACTGTGGATATACAAGTTACTTGTGAAAATACCTTTTATTACAAATGGGAATGTCTTGACTTTCACCACTTGCTCCATTGTCCTGTATTGCCTTTCTAAGGTTCAATTCTAGTATATTGTGGATCTTAAGCTGAAGATGCCATTATCATCTAACCTCTCCAGATTGGTCACTAAAGTAATAGTCACAATGATTTGTTAAAAAAAGAAATTTGTGATGAACTGGAATTTGAGATAAAAGTATGCCTTTATTACTAACTGTTTCACTTCCCAAGGAATTTTGCATTTTGTCTACCTCTTGGTAAATTCAATAGATTATGGTAATACTGTCTATACTTTTCTTTATAAGATTAAGTTTTCAGTTTCTCTAATATTGCCAAACTTTATGTTGTTGCACTGAGGTTTCCGTGCCAGAAAGTTTATTTTTATGAAATTTTATCCCAAATTAATCTTCTGTCTTAGAGCACAAGTTTGAGAGAATAGAAACAGGGACGTAGTCTTCCTTGTGTCAGTAATCCTTACAGTGATTTGGTTAGGCAGCTTTAAAAACAAAGCCACCGGGGACTCCCTTTCCCTTTGCACTGTTTTGAGTACAGCATAGAAGATTCAAATTTGGACCCACGCATTTAAGATTTTCTTAGTGTTGCATGGCAGGCAGTGCTTGTACAGTAAAGATAACAAACAAAGGAATTAATTTCTTATCTTCCAAGTTCCTACTGTTTTGGTCTCTAATTGAAAGAGCCCATACGTTTTTTTTCTAGGGGACACTACGTCTCAGTGATAGAATTGGAGTGTCATTTGGAGTGTGCTGGGAGGGCCTGGCACTAACAGCTGTGCCAAGTCTCCTCACTAACCTTAATGCAAAAGTGAAACCAAAGAGAACTAGCCCTCCCTTAGTGGTTGTGATTTGGTGTGGTGATCAGAACTGCTTTTATTTCTCTCCTGTCTAGAGAGAGCAGCTTCCACTTGCAGATGGTGATAGTGAGAACGGCAGTGACAATGAAGATGAGCAGCCTCAAGTGGTAACACTGAAAAAAGGGGACTTGACTGCTGAAGAAGCAATGAAAATTAAACAGCAAATCAAAGAGGCCTTAAAGTCAAATGAATCAGGTGAGTGAATCAAAGAGAGATAACCCATAAAAGGGAGCTTGATAATTTGCTTATTTTTCTACCATTTAGTATTACCTTTGATTAATTGTTTTGAAATTTTCAGCTAAATAATTTGCACTTGTGATTCCTAATCTGAAGTCGTTGAGTACATATCCAAGGTGTCTGGCATTTTATAGTGTTGCAGTCCTGTGCTTCTTGATTGTGCTTCATCCTACCTCCAAATACCACCTTAAATAAATGGTTGGGGGTTTTTTTTGTTATGGTGTGTCATTGTCCTGGCACACAGTCTTTTGACATCACCTGTGATAATTTTTGAACTCATTAATTATTTGAACTCACTAGTTCAGCCAAATTTGATGGCAGAGTGGATGTCTTAAAGGTAATTGTATGAGTTCATGAAAGAGAGTGATGGGCAGAAGGAGGAAACTCAGTTTAGTGCTTCAGTGGAAACAATGGCAGGTGAGTAAGCTTGGTAATGTGTTCACTTAACTGACTGGTCCATGTTATTACTTGCTTAAATTATCCCCAGTATGCGTTGTGACTTGCAAATATATTATGCAAAACTAAATTGATTAGTTGAAAATAACAGGTGGTGCAATAGTGCCACCAAACAGCTAGGTATAGAAAAAAATGTTTCTTTGCTAGAAAGAATTAGAAAGCCTTATCTAAGTTATTTAATAAGCTTTTCAAGAATGGAAAGATGAAGTGGTGTGAGAGAGGTTGCTGCAGTTAGGCAATAAAGATGTGAAACTATAGTTGATGGATACAGTTATGTTAAGAATTTCTGTCAGTATTCATAATTCAGATATGGTTGACGTAAGTGCTTTGAGAGTCCAAAAACTTCCATAATCACACAGGGTGTGATGAAATGTAGCTTTATCTTTATTTTTTGCTGACAGAAGACTTGACAGATTAAAGGTAGCTAGTACTGCCTCTAGTGGAAATGTCTTGACAATTAAGAATATGAAACTGGAACCTCACAAATATAAAATAGAAAGGTGATTCATGGAAGCTGTGGACCTTTTCCTTGGTTAGCCATTGTGGCTATTTACAAAGGCTGTAAATTGGGCTTAGAGCAGATTGAGAGCCTAGCACACCGCCATCAATAGGACATCCTTAGCTTCTGTCGTTTTCTGCCATTTGGATTCAAAAATTCAGGTTTGTGCTGTCCCTATGTAGAAGTATGTGTTAAAATTTAAATGGTAGAAATTATATAAATGGAGAAGTCAGATAACAGTAGTGGGAGAAAATACATTGAGAATCTTATATTTTTGAAAAGCAGATTGTTGAAAAATTCTTGATTTTTGTAATGCAGGTTAGTCTGAAACTAAATAAAACTACATTTGATTTGTTTCTGCAGTTAGATATGTATACGTTAGGTATAACCAGGTAGTGAACTGAGGGCTGTGTTCATATAATTTGAACTCCTCTGAGAATGCATTCAGCTTCCGGCTTACTTCCTGAAGTGTAATGCATGTGCTTGGTGTTGTAGTTTGTAAAGTTGTAAAGAAAACATGATTTCTTTTCAAAAGTGGGATCACCCTCCTACTGTTGGGAGAAATTTCAACCCATTGGAAAGAAATGGCATGATTCTTTCTGAGCATTGGTTTCCTTTTCATATAAGCAACTTGAATTTTGAATGATCACAGTAGGAGGAAAAACAATTTTGTAAGGCTAGGCAAAAAGTAGTTGTCCATGAGAGTCTATTGAGATGGAGTCCATGCTGTGAAAAAAGTCCAAAAGAGCTACCAAGCTGAATACACAGTATGAAATGGAAGTGTATTTGAATAGAGTAACTGAACTTCTTTGGTGGAAAAAGACATTCCTAAGACATAATTGTATGTAGTGAGGATGGTAGTATTGAGTCCCTGTAGGACTTTGGCACCTTTGCTTATTACCCCTTCAGCCCTTCAGTAATAACTTGCATTTGGAGGAAAAAATCCACGGTAGTAGGTAGCAGAGTGTTGAATCACTATGCTCTGGGGACTGCTGCTCTCTGTTCTACATTATTGTGTTATTATTTGTTCATCTGCCTCTGCTGTTAATATGAGGTCTTGGCCTCCTTTTCCTTTTTTTGGCTTATGGGAATAAACAGGGTAAGTGCTACTGTGTTCCTCTGCTATGGCCAGGACCGAGTGCAAAATTTCCAGTGAAGGTATGGGTGACTGTGCTACAGCTTGCTGAAGGCTTTTTTGAGTCTTTGGCCATCTTTGCACTGTCAGTCTGACCTCTAGATTTAAATTCTGATTTCCAGTCAGACAGGTATTTAGACAGCTGGTTACTGCCAGTTTAATAAAGAGAGTTTTGAATAATGTGTTAATTTCTGTTCTTTTTTTGGATAATTGTCAATTCTGAAAATGGGAAGTATAAAGAAAGTTTGATGCTGAATGATTTGACTACATTTCTTGTTGCTTTGATTTTTATACCAGAGTTGAAAATGGAATTAATTTAACAGGTACTAGACCATAATGCATAGCCCCAAATCAGATCATTAGTAAAATTACCTGAAGCTCAAAAGGTAGCAGGGAAGTAAACTTTCCAACTGCTAATCTTCCTTTCCACCATGCATCAGTGCTGAGGCACTTTGATAGATTGTAAGTAATGTGCTGCTAACCATCTGTTGTGAATAGAAACTGTTAAGTTTTTCAGAACATGGAAAGTACTCAGTTTTGAGGTTCTGCCCTCTCCTCCTTTATATCTGTAGTGATTGTCTTCATTTGAGGGTCCTTGTCATCAGGCTTTGGTTTGGGATATTATTCTAGGATTTTCCATATCTCATTTACATAGTTTCTCCTTCCTGTTCTTCTAGAACCAGTTTGACATGGCCACACTGTTTTTTTTTTTTATTTCAGGCACCAGCAGTTCCTGTGACTCGCATTTTCCTTTACAGATGAGTAATGCTTTTGCATTAATTTGGCAAAACCAGCTGATTAATGTCCTAGCTGCACTTAGTTGCCTCCTAAGGCAGAACAAAATTTAGTGAAGCTTGTAGGTTGGCTTTTGCAAGTATAGTCACAGGGAACTTTATTTAGGACTGAACCTTTCCTATATGAGAAAACACCCTTCCATATTGAGATATTTTTCTCTATGGAGGACTGACTTAGAGGCTTTTTAAAAAGAAGTCATTTGTTTATCAACAGTCATTTTGCTTAATATTTTTATGCAGCATTTTATAAATCATTACTGTTGGTTCAGAGACAAATTTAAATGGTCTTATGAGAAATAAAATTTGCAAAAAAGAAAAGATGGCAATTACTGCAAGATACTTTATCCCAGCACTCATTATAGTCTGTGGAATTGATCTTTCTAGTGCTTTTCTAGTTCACCTGGCCTCTGGGACACTCTGATACATGCAGATGAGCAAATTTGGCAGAAGGTGTCCTTACTCATTCAAAGTCTTTTAATATTATTCTTGTCTCATTCTGTATGCTGGGGTTGGGGGAGGACAAGAGAGAGGAGAGACAAGGAGAACACAGTCCATGGTGTCTTGGATATTGGAGCTCTTTCCTTAGCTTAAGCAGCTATTACATCAGATACATATCACAGAGTTCATGCTGCTCTTCATCATGTGAACAGCAGGAATCTAAATAAAAGCTAATTTTACAGTATGTAAGTAACAAAAACTTTCCCAAGTGTCCTCATAAACGACTGAGACTGAGTATCTGAGCAAGACTGGCCTTTTTATCTTCATGATACCAGTGTGTGGAATTTCCTGTAGAAAATGCTTCCAAAGGCATGCATAGAGGTGGGTGGCCAGAAAGCACTAGAAGGAGAATCTGAAATGGCTGATCTGACCTTCAAACCTTAGAAACCATTAAGAAATTTGCCAGGTTATCATACATTTTTTCCAACCTTTATCATAGAATAGACATATATCTTGAAATATTGTTTGCGCTGCTCCTCCTGTTGTTCTGCCAGTTTAGTGGCGTTTGTGTTTCCTGTCATTGCCTCATTGACCCATGCGGACAGAAACTGCTGAAAAATCGTGCTGCTAACCTCACAAATGTCTACTAAATAAAAAATGCAGTAAACTGAAGAGCAGTGTTTCTTTTTCAGACCCTCATTTCTGCTTCTCTTGTAATATATAACTTGCAATTAAAAGGGAAGAAACAAAATTCTGATTTGTGGCTTCTTAAATTGATGTCACTTGTGAAGTGAGTTTTCAGCTCAATGTTTGATTGTGCCCCTCTTAGCCAAGCAGTGTAAAGGTTTGTGATCCAGGTAGAAGCAGCAGTGACTAAGAACAGTCCGAATTTGAACTGCTAGTGTAGTTTTTGGACTCTCTTATCAGAAGTGGATTTTATTATTTCTCCTGTAATGCCTTTATGTTGGTTGTATTTTACTTTGTGTGTTTCAGTGTGTTTATCAGAAATCCTGCTCTCCATAATTTGTAATACTGATACTGTCTTTTATCAGGGCTCTGTTGGAAAAACTGCCAACACTGAGATTGTTTCTGCAGTCTCTTCTTTGCATTGCTTAATACACTCAGGTTTTGGAGGTCATCAATACAAATAAAAAAGGACAGCTGACACATAAGAGTCTGGTAAAGTTAGAAAAGATGAAGCGAAATTTTTTTACCAGCTGGAAAAGACAATCTTTAACAAATCAACACAGATTTCTTGAGCTGCTACATCAAATTCTTTCAAAAAGCATAGTCTGTGTGTTCTCCCTCTTTCCACAAGTTGCTAAGGTAAGGCTAAGCCTACTGTGCTTCCTTATCTCCTTTGTTCTTTGTCAAGCATTGCCAACATATCATAGCTCTCTGAAGTTGGCCTGGGATGCCTGCTGAAAGGAATGTCCCTGAGCATATAATGAAATTTTGACAGTGTTTAACCAGGCCAAGAGCTAAAATCTTTTCCTTTGATGCAGAATGATCCGCAAATAGTATTGAGGCCCTGGAGGTCAGAGCTAAGCTAGTTGCCATTTTGGTGGAGTTTTTGAGCTTTGCTCTGTTTATGCACTTTGCTTATTAGGTGTTTAAATTCATATTGCAAAGATACTTATCAGTTTCTCCATCTGGTAGACAAGGTGAAATTAGTTTGTGCAGTTCACAGCGTGGGTAGCAGAAAAGCTGGGAGTAAAATTGACACTTCTGACTTCCATTTTTTCATGGACTATGAGTACATAGCTGTTTACTGATTTATTTTGTGGATATGCTTTCATTACATTTTTAGGGGTTTGGTTTTTCAATTTACCATTCTAAGAAAATGTCATAATTGCTGGTTGTCCTATTTTCACAGCTGTACTGGTACTGTACACAGTCTGTACACTGGCTGGCTTAAGTACATAGACAGTTGGGTCTGCTCATAAGTGAAATTTTTCTAATAGATGCATTTTTTTTTGCAGAATTTGGCTTATATTGTGCCTCAGATCTTGTTTAAGTTAGAAGATCTGTTTTTCCAAATAAACATTGTAGTTAAGCAACAATTGATTAGTAAGGGGAATTATTTGATATTAAACTTCTGAGCCGAAAAATGGAGGCCCAACTTCTGAGAAAAATGATACATAGTGCATTTTGATTGGTTGGGTGTGATATGTTTTCAGAAACAGTTATTTTTCCCTCCCAGAATTTACCATAGGCATTTCCTAAACTACTGTATCCCATGCACAGCATATAAACACCTAAGCTTTCCATGTAGAATTCACAACAGATCCATTGAGAAGTATGCTTTTCATATTTACAGTTTATTTTTGCTGGTAATTCCTTGTAACTGTAATGCTTTTCTAATGCACCAGTCCTGAAATACTTTCCCAGAAGCTGGTTAGTTATTTTCTGCATAGTAGTATTCTCTCATAAACTAGTGCAGAAGCATGCATTTTGTAGAAGTCATTGACAGAATGGGTGCTTAGCTTTTAAAGCTAGGTTTCTTCTTAAAAAGGGTCTCTGAAACTGAATTCCAAGTGAAGTTTCCTAATGAAGTTGATGCCTTCATTTATACCACGCAACCCTTAAGACACCAGATTTAATAGTTGTATTGTTTGGAGTATGCACTGAAGAGTGTTTCAGCCAGTGCTGTGTATGATAACACTGAAATGTTAGTCTTCAGCCATAATGCTTATATATTGAGGAAAGAATTCATGCTAAAGACAAAAGATATTTATTGGCTATAATTAAATAGCACATAATCTTGTCAAACACATGCATATTGTTAGGAAATTTCTGTTGAATAATGAATTTCACACAAGTACTTTAGGAAAAATATTTTGTGCAGAACCTATGGTTCTTTAACATCCTGTCACATATACATTATAAAAATTGCAGACTACTGCAGCATGAGCGTTTGTGTCTGATTCATGACTTTACAATTATGCTTTTTTTTCCAGAGTTATTGCCTTGATGCTGTTACTTGTGCAGTAGCTTTCCTCCTCTGCCTGATAATCCTGGAAGGGACTTCTCTTGTTTTTAAAATTGTTATTTGCTGTAGCACATGCAGAGGAGCAGAATTAGTCACTTGGAATTGTCTGGTGATTTTGCAGATACAAAGAAACCCTAAAACTTTCATCCTATATGATAATAAAAGGCAGGTTTATGACCATGTGATCTGTTTAGCTGTCTCAGCAGGATGGAGTATATTAGAAGAAAAAGCTTTGTCTTGTGTATGTGCCATTTTGTTCTTTAAAGAGATACAGTAATTCTGAAATAAGTGCATTTGTTTTCACGGATTTTACAAATGGTGAAGTGGAATTAGAGGATCCTATAAAGTTGTCCTCTCCATGTTGGTAAGTGTATGTGGCTGGATTGTGTGGGAAAAGCTCTACTGCTCACAGTCTCTTCTAAGTTAAAGCTCTGGTTAGCGAGAACCCATTTCTAATAGGAACTGCAGGAGAACTCTCTTCAAGGGCTCGTTGCCATGGAGCAGATGCGTGTGCATGAAGGACATTCATCAATACAGACTTTGTAGCCAAAAAATACATTTTCATGATTGTTGTATTCTATCAGAGGTCTCGCTGATCTTGGTTCTAGGGAATAAGAGAAGATAATAGTGAAGGTCTGTACGTGTGTGTGAACATGTGCAGATGAGTTCTGATTTTACTCACTTTGTTATAGGTGGTGAACCAGAGCCTGCTGATGGAAAAATTGTGTTCAGGAAGCCAGCCAAACGTTCATCAGAGAAGTTTTTGGACTTCAATGTAAGTTCAAGTAAGAAGATGAAAGCGGCAAAGAAAACTAAGAGAGAAGCAACTACTCCTCAGAGTACAGCTAAGCAAATAAAAAATAGCAGTCTTCTCTCATTTGATGATGAGGAAAATGATGATTAGGAGTTGTATTTTTTTATATTTTACTTACCCTTCTAGGGATCTGAATAAGATTGAAGGTTTTCCTAGAAATTGAAGCATGGTATCTGAGTCTTCTCTTACTTTGTTAACAGTTCAACTAGAGACGTAGTATAAAACTAGCAAGAGCTAAGTCTTTGCAGTTCAGATGGAACTGTAGGAACAATATGTCCTGTCTTTATTTTAAAAGAGAATTTAACCATGTATGTAAAAGCTATTTGAGGTCACAAATGTGTAGCAAAATACACCTGTACATATCCAGTTTATATAAATTTTCAATCAATACATTTGAAAATGTCCTCTGTTACTAAAAACACATTTCCTCTCTATTTGTTGGCCTTATTGGACAGTTGTGTGGGTTTTACCTGTTATTGTTGACTTGACATTCAAAAGAGAGAGACTTCGTTGCTGTGGAACAGAGACTGAAGTTTTCTGTCTCATAGCTTAACAGAAGTTTGCACAACTTCTGTGCATGTGGTTTGGCAGATTAGCTCTTCGCAGAGCTCTTGCAGTAAGTGAGCCTGCAGTTGCTAAAATCATCTAGTCTTAATCCTGTCTTTGGTGAATGCAATCTAAGAAGCATCAAATTCATTTGAATTGATTGTGCTAGCAAGATCTAAAAATTTTGATTGTAGTTGATGGTATCAATTAATGCAAAAGAAAGATGCCTAAACCCTTTGGAGAGTGTGCACTTTGGTTATCATACTGATGAGGTCAGTATTTTGGTGGTGGTTTTATTTTTTTTTTTAAGTATATTTGTTCCAGTTGGCTACCTATGTGTTCATAATTATTTGGGATCTCAAACAGTGTATTTTTAAAAAATGTGTTTCATCTTTAAGCTGTGGAAAAGCATTATTTTGGTTTTCTTCAAGTAGGAAATTGTAAACAGGAAATTTATGTCAAGAAATGTTATAGCTGTGATACAAAGTTTTAAAATTTTTCAGTTGCCCATGTACAGTACACTGAAAGTGACCATTTCTGTACCATTTATGTAATAGAACGTGCTGAAATTCAAAAAAACACTGAGAGCTGATGGGATTGGGGAGAACAGGGTGGTGAAATGGGACTAGTGACTTTGAAATGATTTGGAAGTATGGTGTGTTCTGTAACCATATATAAGGAAGACCTGAGACTGCTGCAGAATTACAGGGTATGAGGCAATGAAACCGGTTCTTCTGCTGTGTGACAGGACATCCGACATCATTTGGGCTGTAAAGCTTCATTGAGGAGCAAATTTGAAGTTGCTGTCTGAAACAGCTTGGTTTAGTTTGTTAATCTGCTATTAAACAATAAATTACGTTTTCTTTAAGTGGTCCAAAGATATTTTAATGAAAATTTCAGTACATAAAATTGGATTTTTTTGTCACCTGTTAATGGAGCTTCCTATGACTGCTGCCTGTCTTCATACATACCAACTTCCTGCAGCATAAGATCAGATGCAAGTCTGCATACTATTTCACACTAATTGTGCGAGTGCATATTACCTTGATTTTGAAAATGAATAGATCTGTTGTCCTTTCAGAAAATTAAAACCAGACCTATAAATGGATATTAAAGTCTTGTTGTAGCACTGGTCTGATATTAGAACTGCCAGAGAGGTGCAGCGTGACACAACCTGATTATTCCCATGAGGACATGTCACATTTATAAATACATAATTTGTCTGTATTCTGCATATGTAGAAAAGAAAATCAAATGTAGGAAGAAGAAATACAGAATCAAAGGTTCCCAGGGATTAATCTTTCAATTTATTTTGTATACTTAAAACTTGTTTGAATCAATTAAATATCTCTATATATACCCCCATGAGAAATCCTGTAGCATTACAGTATACTGAGGGAATATCTGGGCATATTTCAACAACTGAGTAAATACTCTGACTTGTTGAGACTCATCTGAAAGAATGAATTAACCATTGACTGCTTACTTAAACTTTTCTGGTTCTGTTTGTCAGCACAAAAATATACTTGCTTACATTTTTCTTGCGCAGCCTGAAAGCTCTTCACTTTAGCTGTGAGGCAGTTTAGGAGATATGGCTATCAAGAGATAAATGCTTGCCAAGGATCAGAAGGAATTTGGATTTACCTTAAAATTAGAGAGGGCCTCCCAAATATGCAGCTGATTTGGCATGTTCAAAATAAGACTGAGGTCTTGTTTGAATCTGGCTAGTAATTGCATTTAAACAAAAATTACTATTTCTAGTGAAAGACTTGGGAGACTGAAGTCCAGTGAAAAGAGGGTTACCTCAAAATACTGGGTGCAGTACTTTTGCTTAATCATGCTCCTTGCCCTACAACTTCATGACAGATGTCTGAAACGCAAATAAATTAATTGGGTTTACTTGGAAATAATACAATGAAAGGTATGTTGTTCTTCAGGCAACACAGCAGGGGAAAGAAAGGCGGATACAGAAACCCAGTTTCTTTCCTTTATTCTGACTGTGATTTGTAGTGCTCTGACCAGGAGGAGACCTTTGTATTCATTGTATTTCACTCCCAGTTGACCTAACAATAACTAACTGGATATATTTATTAAGAGGTGTGAGTGATGCACAGAAGCATTATAGTCAAGTAGTCATGTGAAAATTCAGTGTTCTTGATGTGACACACCAGGAAAATTACACACGCCATCAACTCCCCATGAAACCTGTGACTAAAGAGAACAATTACTTGTTCATTTAGGAAAGAAATGTGAAACTGTCTTAAGCAATCACCTGCCTTAAGCAATGGGCTGTGGAAAAATAATAATTGCAGGAACTTTCTAATAAAGGGGAAGCCAAAGTAAGTAAATGGAACACGGGGCTAGGACTGGAATGGACAATTCTCCTGGCTTTTTGTTCCTCTCTCTCTTCCCTGCCCTCATCCCCAGTCCTTTTCCCCTCCTGTAGTGGGGAACGTATATGTATTTTTTTATCTTGTGGAGCTTGCTCAGCTAAGTGTGAGAGAAGCTGTGGAGGAGCAAGGTGAAAGTAGCTGAGGCTTGTTACCCAATATGGGAATCTTGGTCGTCAGATGTGGCCTGTTACCTAATGTGGGAATCTTGTACAGTTTTTATTAATAAAACCTTTGAAATTTCCCGGTTCAGTAAGACTCCAAAATGTTTATTGATGGTGGTGTTAGTTCTCGCTCTTCTTAGCTAAGCAGTAAGCTGGAATAAACCTGGTGAACTGTAGTAGCATTGCAGCAGTGGATGCTTGTAGTGGAGGCTTTTTATGTTGCAAAGGTGCTTGGATGTCATCAGGAAAGATGAGATGCTCTGTCACCTTTCTTTCTTTTGAAGAAACAGGATCTTTCCCTAAATGATAGGAATCAAAGTGAATCATCAAGAATGCTGCATTATGAGATAGAAATAGCAAAGACATAGGACAGAATGAGCAAGAAAATGCACATGTGGGCACGTAGCCCAGGAGTTCCTACCCTGGGTTGTATTTCTAGCCTGTCTGATAAGGTTAATTTTTTTCTCAAATAAAACCAAATTTGTTGTACTGCAAATGTTCATTTCATTGGCCTAAACAGGAAGGGATGAGTCAGAATTCTATTCTGATATTTTTTGTGTCCGGCACTTTTCCAGGAAATATCATTTGGAGGATCAAAGGCTGTGTTTTGCAGACACTGAGCACAAGAAGCCTGTATTTAGCTGGTTTAATTACACATTTTTTGAGTTTCATCACAGGACTTAATGTCTTTTTTTTTTTTTTACAGTGCTTCAGTATATAATCCTGTTAGGAAGCTGCAGATTTACAACAAAGCAGGAAGTAGCAATGTCATCATTTCAGCTGATTGTTTCCCTTGTGCTGTAGTGTATTAACTAAGTAATGCTTCACTTTGCTATGTAGAGCCAATTGCATTCTCAAGGACGTCAGGCATGCCTGAAGATGAGTCATTACCTTTGGTACAGCACAAGAGGTATGATATGCAGTCTCAGCAAGCGTTTGTCCATTGAAGTTGGTTAATAACCTATAGCCTTCTCCTGTGGCAAGATGCCATAAATCAGTCCTTTGTGCATTCAGCAAACAGCAAGGCTGGTATATCAGCTGCCTCTTCAGTATCATCCCTTTATTCCCATTCCTAGAGCAAGGTGTTAATCTGCAAAGAGATTTTTCATGTCCTAGACCTCCCCTTCTGCCTCACTTCCTTGAGAGCATTCCAGAGGTAGCAGTCACAAGGGTAGCCATTAAAACCAGGGGAGAACACCACATGTGAGTGACTGCAGCCTCCTGCAGGCTTCCTCAAGATTTTGAGAACCTGTAAAATCTCAGAGCCAGCTCCTTGGAAGTAACTTCCTCCTGGGGAAAATGGATGGGACCAGTCAGGAAAATTGCACAAGATTGAATTTTACAGTGTTTACCCTACTATCACTTATTTTTTGTTGGAGGTAAAGCTAACAGCTGGCAAAAGCAGTTTTCCTCTATTAGGAGATGTAAAGTGGCTTTGGTGCCATTCCAATCCATATGGCAAAGGATTCCTGTTCCTCGACTCCCGTGGCAGTCCTCAGTGCAATGCTTGATTAGTTAAGGCCATGGGCAAGAGGGAGCTACCTTGTAATAGGCAGAAGTTATTAGAGGAAGGTGTTGTTAAGCCTCCATGGGGTTAACGGTGATCATGGCACGCTTTTTTGATATCATGAAAGACTTGTTCCCTTAGGGACAACACAGTAACAACGAACTTTAAAAGGGCAGATTATAAAACTATGAGGAAAATGGTTAACAGCAGGCTGAAGGGCAAAGAGAAGTACTTAAAAACCATAGAGAGCTGCCTGGAGGCTATTTAAGAACATTGTATTAGAGGCACAGATGGTTTGTATACCTCTGAGCAAAAACATAGCATACGAGGAAGAATGAAACTCACAGGGTTACGTGGGAGAAAAGCGTGAGTATAGAAACGTTGAAAATGCATCCCTTAAAGATGACGACTGTCTGAATGACAGACTAGGAAGTGTTATAAGGAGAGTGGAAAGAGCTGGAAAGTGTCGGTGCTAAGAAAAAGACTATAGCAGCTGCTGACTTTGGATCCCCAGGATGAAACACTGAAAAGAGTGATTCTAATAATGTCCTGAGCCCTTTGCCTTTGAAAACTGGGCTACTCCAGATGAAGACTTCACCAGAAAA